AAGCTGTAATCCCATGTTAAATCCCATAGGGTGGGGGGGCTGATGCGGAGGGGGGAGGGGGGCCGAACGATCCTATAAACCACATTATTCATACTGAATTGTGGTTAATAACAAATTATATTCAATATTTTAATATCAAAAAATACTTATAATAACATATGTGTCAACTCTGGTGTTCAGAGCTTTGAGCCCATAGTTGGGATTTTAATAAGTTTTTAAATAACTAATATTTTATAGTTTTTATGGAATAACCCCTTAATCTCTGTACTGTAATATACGCCCCTTTCATCTGCTTTATAAGTAGGGTGACCAGAACGTCCTTTTTATGGGTTTTGTCCTTTTTTCGACCTCTGAAAATAGAGTAAAGAAGGACGCGTCCTTTTTTTGAATTTTAGTAATTTCAATATAAAAGGTGAATATGTTTTAAAATATGGGAAATATCATTGATTGCTTTGCACTGTAGATCTGCAAAGCTGTATAGTTTAGACATTACAGCACACAAACAGTAAATAATAATAATAGAGTAGAAATATATTTAAAAATATGGTAATTGTTAACAGAAAACTATTATAAAAATCAGATAATTTTGTTTATTAAAAGTGTTTTCATTTAAATATTCATTTAAAATGTGTGACAAAACAAAGGAAAATGCATAGGTTAAAAAAAACTTTGCGTCCTTTTTTTGTCCTTTTTTAATGACTATTTTATAACAGTCGTCCTTTTTTAAGAGGATTTTTGGTGGTCACCCTATTTATAAGGTGTGCCTAAGCTGCTGTTTAGTTTAGAGTCCCTTTGGCTTGAAGTCAATAAACATAGTTTTATTTGAAGTGTTGGTCACACTTATTGGGCTCAGTCTATACACGTCGGCGACACCTCCCGAGGGGCGCCCCTTCCGAGGTCTGCGAGACAACAACAGTGAGTATCTGTTGGTCGCCACCCCCTGGCCGTCGAACAATAATTTTTCTAATATGGCATATTTATCGGCCACAATACAGACGGAGGGTTAAACACATAATGTATATGTATATAATCTATTCGTTATTTGTGTGAATTCTACCTATGGCTGAAAGTCTGGTTGTACCGGTAATAGTTATTATTGTGCCCAAAACTATGCAAAAAGCATCCGAACGGTTTGCCTAGTCTGTAGGACCAATGCTAATCTAGTCTAATCTAATCTAGTCTGCTAATCTAATGCTAATCCTATGGACAACGATAATCTATTATTTAGACAATACCGAATTGTGGTTAACGTATAGCATTGATGTGTGAGTTGTTTGCTATGAAATTGAAAATTATTTTATTCCCAACTTAATAAACTGGAATCATTGGTTTATACTCCATAGTGATGGCTAAAGATTCCATTTTCCGGGAATTCCCGAATAAAATAGTTAACAAAATCATCGGGAATTATATACCATTAGATTTAGGGGTCATAATAGACTTTAAATATATAAGTTTTATTTTCCCGATTTTGGCCTATTTTGAAAAAATTCCCGATTTTAGCATATTTTTGAGAAAATTCCCAAAAAAGTCTATTTTTATGATAAATACCCCGAAATTAGACATTTTTTTGGATAAAATTATTTATTTTATAGCTATTTTATCAAAACTATTAATGAAATGCTAAACTGGATTAACTGACATCAAAACCTATTCCACAGCATAATACACTTCGAAACAAACTAAAATTACTCTATGATAAAATTATGGTTAAAATAAGGGATGCTGTAAGTGATAATAATGTGTAATTTATCTTAGATGAAACTTATCAAATATAATTCATTTCTAAATCATTTAAATGCATAATTATTGTCTTAAAATTGAATAAATACATAATTCCCGAATTTTCCCGATTTTGACTTTTTTATTCCCGAATTTGGATGTTTTTACTCCCGGAAAATGGAATCTTTAGTGATGGCCAACCATTAGCCTTCTTGTGATAAATGTTTCAATTTTTTCTGAAAAAAATTGTTTGATTTGAAGGCAAAGAATGGAGTGACCCATCATTTGACGCCATTTCTCTCACAGACATTGGAAATGATGGGAACCGACTGTAATTGTGAGGAATATGTATGTTTGAAGCGTGCAGTGGGTTTGCACTTCATATCCCGGGTCAATACTTTTCTGCCGGGTTTTATATTTAAAGTGCCATAATTTTAAATGATTTTTAATGACTAAAATCACTATAAAATCAATTATCTTATCCCCACGTCTTCTCGACTGCCTTTAAGTGATCCCAAATAGTCGATTCACTGCATCCCTATTGGCGTACATATCTCGACCCCATCTGCTTCGGAGTATAGTCTCAAAATAAACACATTATTCATACCTCAATCGTGGTTAACAAATGGTTTCTACCGACGAGCAGCCACTTTGATTGGGCGCCACAACTAAAGTGACGATAGCAGAACATTTTTAATTACCATACTCGCAAGATATTCAATAAAATAATTCTCACTATAGTATATGGTTTTTATTATTCGGGATATATTTTGAAAAATACAATATGATTAAAAATTTAAATATGTGATCATGTTTAATGTGTGTGTTGTTCGGGAATTGAGTGGTCAGCCATTGCTATAGATATGAATATGAAATTGGTTTCAATTCTAAATGAATGTCAAAATATTAGTTTTCTTCTAAAAAACTAATTTGTGCTAGAGCATTTCAATTCTTATTTAAAAAGTGATTTCAAACATTATCAGTAAAAATTATTGCAGAAATATTCTATGCTCATATTATAAAATGTTGCAATTAAAGGGCACAAAACATGTATTTAAAACATGTACCAATCAATTTGTTGACAAATAACAAACCATTCATCAGTCCAACAGTCCATCAAACACTACATTTCTAAAACCGTTGGATATTTAATTATATCTCCTATTTATTAGTTTATTGTATTCAACAATAATATACCAATAATTGGTAATCAATGGGAATTGATTATTATTAATCCGATTATTTGAACTTTTCAACAGTTTTTTGGTAATAATTCAAGACATCATTTATGGATATATTTAATATTATTAATATAAAGGTTTAGGGCCTAAACTTTAGGCAGTTCTGTAATATACTATATTAATATTAATGTACATTATACTGGATGCACTGACAGTATTACTGTAATAGTTAAAGCATTGTTAATATGTGGTAATAAATTGAAAAATATGTGATAATAAATGCAAAACATGTGATTTTATGTGGTAATAAAATTATGAAATTTTCGGCATCAAAATTAAAATTTTGTTAAAGCATCGAAAATAGATATAAAATAAATATGACTAAAATATCATAGATCACAATATATCATCATCTAATTTACATAGTTGTTCCGATAGAATTCATTAGAAATATTTTGATTTACATATAAATTCCTACTTTAAAATTTTTGGTTTTACTCAAACTTTGTTTATTTAAACCAATAATAATTTTTTTTGGTAAATATGTTCGATATGTTAAAAATTGTAATATTTAGATTTACCCCCAAAAATATCATTTTTGCATCAATTGTTTTTGTAAAATTCTAGGAAAAATCAAATAATTCTCACATATTTTTCCAAATAGTTGATGTGTGAATATGTGATACATGCAGACAAAATATGTAATTATTTGTGTTTATGTAATATTAAGTCTCAAAATACTCATTATAAGATTCGGATAGATTTATTAATGTTCTATATATTTTATGTTACAGACAGTTTCACATTCACAGTGCGCCATAAAAAGGTGGCGCCATTGTCAGTATTAAACGAGAAACACCACGTCAAGGCAAACAAGATACACATTCAAAGTGTGTTATTAAAGAGGTTTAGGTTTGTTAGTTTTAAACGAGAGGTGCCTAATAAAGGTCAACCTAATAGTGCTTTGCTTTGTAAAGTTTTTTATAGTGGTTGGTTTCAGTGTATCCACAAACGTTATTTAAAACAAAGAATTACATTTAATTATTAAATACACATTTTAATGAGATTTCTGATAGTGTCTGCGATTACAATATTAACAATTTTATTTATATTTTATCATATTTTCAATTGTGATCTCAATTTTTTGCGCAAATACTACTAGTTTTGCCATTTTTAATGCGATTTCATTAATGTATATTTGTATGTAAAGAATGTATATACTGTAGTTAAGTTAGATATTTTAGTTGGCCTTGTTCATCAGTGGCTCCACCAAGTATGCCAAGTAGCATCAGATCTTTAAGGCAAAGTTTAAGCTAATGTTCGATATCTCTTACCACAAAAGATATGTAAAATATGTAAAGACAACTCTTTGATCATTAGTATAACTGCAATAATATTGATGTCTATTTTTTGGGAGTAATTTTTGGTGGAATTGTGTAAAAATGTAATAAGTCTTAAAAGTCATACGAATTGTTATTAACAGTAATTAAGAGTAATTAAGAGTAAAGATAAGAATGGATTCAATAGCTATTGAATTAAAGGCAGAGAATGAGAGACTTAGCGACCAATTGATGGCTGAAAGACAATTGAATGCAATTCTACTCCAATTGAGACAATACTCGCATCAAGTGGTGGACGGATGTCATTGTCAGACCAATCACGAGGCCATCACCCGATGGAACCGATTGAACACACAGTTCGCACAACAGACAAATTGAATGCAATTCTACTCCAATTGAGACAATACTCGCATCAAGTGGTGGACGGATGTCATTGTCAGACCAATCACGAGGCCATCACCCGATGGAACCGATTGAACACACAGTTCGCACAACACACCACTCCAGACACCACTCCAGACACACCTCAACCCTCGCAGCCATCGCTGCCTTCAATGACACGAAGCGATGAATTGAAAGCATGCGTTGGATCTGTTGAATGGTTGACATGTGATGAATGCGAGGCTGTCTTCGAGAGTGCGGAAGTGTTGTCTTGTGTAAACTGAGTTACAGTACTCATAAAGCTGCGGTTGTGATCAGAACGGTAACTTAACGTTCACTAACTGGTTTTGTCACTGAGGAAGAATCCATACACAGGTAGTCAACTACTGAGGTAGTGATGATTCATACCAATCACTTGTATTGACAGATAAGCTGAACCTCTCGGGCAGTAGTGATGGCCACCAATCCGGAGACAAACGAAATAACAATTGCGGTAATTATAATGATTTATTGAAATTGCAATCAATGATTGACTCATTTTAATGATTAGAAAATGGGAAGCGATTCAAGTGGAAGAGACCGCCGAAGAGACCATCTCGACACTCGCGCCAGACATCCAACTACTATAGGATGTGTAATAAGTATCAGTGCAGCGAATGCTTCAATTGGTTGCCATCAGAAACCGCTTTAGAGACGCATTCAAATAAGTACCACAAGAACTCGAAACCCTTCGTGTGTGTCGTATGTAAGGCCACGTTCTTCGCCAACCTCTCACTTCTCAACCATTTGTCACAAACACATCAAATGTCTGCCTTTGCGTGCGATTCGTGCGACTATAAGACACGGACTAAACATCACTTAATCCAACACATGATCACACACTCCAAGGATAGGCCCTATAAATGCCATTTCAAAGGCTGTAACAAATCGTTTAAACGCAAGTTTGAGTTAATTCGACACAATATTCTTCATAAGAAGCGCTTCCAATGCAAGGAATGTAATGAGAGTTTCAAAGACAATCCGTCACTTCTTAACCATTTGTCTCTCAAACATAAAATATCACTCTTTGAGTGCGATTTGTGTTGTTATAAGACAAAGATTAAACACCATCTGATCCAACATATGGTCACCCATTCCAACGAAAGACCATTCGGGTGTCACATCCATGGATGCAATCAAACATTCAAACGCAAAGACATGTTAATCAGACACGAAAGACTTCACCAGTAGTTACACAATGTATTCATATTAATCATACCTAATATTGTATCACATATTATATCATACATATTGTACTACATATTGTATATCATCTCAATTGTTAATAATGTGTATAAATTAATAATTAATAAAATTATTTAACACTTCAAATATTTTTATTTCTCTCTCTCTCTCTCTCTCTCTCTCTCTCTCTCNGACGGACGGCCCTTCAGTCGGGTTTAAGGAGTTGTCGGTTCCGGTCGTTGTGTTGGAGAGTAAGTGTTGAAAAAGTATTTGATTTGTGGTGCAAAAGGTGTGCGTCAGCCGGGAGTCGAACCCGGGTCAACTGCTTGGAAGGCAGCTATGCTAACCGTTATACCACTGACGCCTACATACAGACAACCAGATGTTCGCTTAGACTTTATGAAAGTTGCAGTCGTTTTGTATAGCATTACTGTTATATCCATATGTTTTCACAAGTTTTATACATAAAACGAGATTTACTTTTTTATATTTCTTTTATATATGTAATCGATGTAGAATTCATCGTTGAGTTCGAATCTGCAATTAACAATGTTTTATATCGAAAATTTTTCGAGTTATTCGACTTAGAAAATTTTTATCAAATATTGTAAATTTTGCCACCGAATTTATTGACATGATATATGGATTCGATGTAGATTCTAACGCAGGTTAATATTATCGAATCAATTTTAAAATTTAATTAGTAGTTTTTGAACTATTCGACTTTAAATTCTGAAAATTTAAATAACTCCAAATATATTTGAGATAGAATATTTTTAACATCCAATTTAGAACCAACATTAGATTCTACATATTTTATAGATTGTACATCGAATCCATATATCATATCAATAAATTCGGTGTATTCCATACAAATGTGGTTAGAATACTACAGTATGTACAGGCCATATCGAGAATGGAAACTCCCATTGTAAACCATTGATTTGCATTTTAGCGGAAAATGACCATAATTTTTTCGGGTAATGTTGGAGTTAATTAAACCAAAATTTTATCACTAACAGTTAACTATTTTAGCTATTATGTGCGAGAATTAAAATTAAATTCAATAACCCAATCTTTTATAAATTACATTTTCCCCGGGGTATACTTTCCATAGGAATATAGTGTAAAATTGATAACTTCACAAAAATGTTCTATTGTTTTTCTAAATTAACAATAAAATCAACGGATCATATTAATTTTTAAATATTATTATAATATCGTGATCTACTGTTTATAAGATAATATTTAACCCCGAGATCGGATTAAATTTTACCAGAATTATTTAATTCTAAATTACATTGTATTCAATGTAATTATATAAGTATACCCAAAGTAAAATGTAATTTACCGAAGGTTGGGTTATTGAAATTTATTTTAATTTTCACAAATAATAGCTTGGATAGTTACCTGTTAGCCATAAAATTTTGGTTCAATTAACTCCGATATTTCCCGAGAAAATTATGGTCATTTGGAAATCAATGGTTTACAATGGGATTTCCATTCTCGATATGGCTTGTACATATTGTATATACTGTTTTTTGTATACAGTGTATACAGTTTTTGTACAAAATAATGTGAATGTTTAAATTTTTAATAATTAAAAATTAATATTATTGACAATAATATAGGATTTGACAGTAATTTTAGGATTAAATAGAATGACAAATGATTGACAATAATTGACACAAAATTGTTATTTGATGCAAAAATGTAGATATTTCTGGAATGTCTGCCCGAAACGAGTGAAGAGAGAATAACCAAGATTGCAGAGTTGCGATCCAAGTATGAGGTAATACGGCTCAAGTATACGACGGACCCCAGGGATGCCAACAACGCCAACAACACAGTGGCCAATGGAGTCGCGTGTGAAACGCACGGCACGGATAACCCGCTATCGCAGGAAACGACTGTACGCTTGTTGTGAATATTGTGTATAATATACGGATATAATTGTGTTATAATTGTATTATATGTAGAGTCAATGGAACCAATACTTCGCCGACAGTGAATTGCGGTCCCGAATCACTCAAGACGTGATCCGCACTTTTCCCGAAATGGACTTCTTTCAGATGACACAAATGCAAACCGTTATGATTGATATACTCTTTCACTTCGCCAGAGAGAATCCAACCGTTGATTACAAACAAGTAATAACACATTATATCACAATTACATCACAATTATTCGGCATCACATACACCACTAACATGTCCTGTCCCCACTTTAATTGTTCACAAAAACCACCTTGTTACAATAAACTTACTACCTTAACTTACACGTTTTTATCTACATTTTTACATACAGTTAATATTCCATATCTCGAACCCTCTGTAACTCGAAATCCTCTATAACTCGAACTATTTTCAAAGTCCAGATTCACTCCCATAAACACCCCATTATAGAAAACCTCTACAACTCGAACCTTTGTATTCCGAAACGGAAACTATTTTCATAGGCCCAATACCTTTCACTGAACCTCCACTACTCGAATTTGTTACTGAATTGTAAAATATGTACACTTTATACAAATGTTTGTGATCTAAAAGTGACAATTTATTATCTAATGTTTTTCGTAAAATGTAATTTTAGTTTTATTTAAATTTCAAAAATTGTATTCATAAAATGATGCTTAGCAGCACAACATTGTCAATTAAAACACAATCCTCTATAACTCGAACTTTCTATAACTCGAAAACCTCTATAACTCGAAAACCTCTATAACTCGAACAAACATTTGTGTCCCGACCAGTTCGAGATCGGGAGGTTTAACTGTACTTAGATATGAATTTAGATATTAAGTTATAAATTAATATTTGCGTATAATTTGCCAATTTATGCACAATTGGGATGTTTTATTGCTAATTGGAATAATCCGGACTTTAGTGATAACTAAGGCGAACATGTATATTTTTAATATACATTGCAGTATTAGTCATTTATGTATTTTTACCACAAAAGGTACACTCATATGCTAATAAGCTTTTTGATAAATTTGACTTTACACCTTAATATAGTAATGGGCGTCCCCCTAGCGGATTTCAATTAAAATTCTTCATTTAATTTTCATACAGTGTACTGTATAAATTATATATCGATTAGGCCCCACACATGTATGAAACTGAACAAGGTTAATGAAAATGCCCAAACAAACCTTAATATATACTTTTTGACTCTTTTCTGTTCGCCATAGTGATAACATACTGTACTTTATACAGTATGACCCCTTAATAAGCAGGCTTTTCTATGGGCTTTTTCTTAAAATGAATTACGGTTGCAATTAAGAGTTAATAAAAAACATTTTTCTTAATATAACTTTAATTTGAAAGTTGATCATATTGGGAAAATAATGTTGAGATTATGAATTTGAATTTGATCAATACAATTGTCCAATCATTCCATAAAAGCACAAAATTGCAAAACTAACTTTTTGTTACACTTTAATCGATTGGTTTTTTTGTCTGACAATTGATAGAATTGTGTGAAATGTTATACAAACCCCAATTAAGTAAATTAAATATTTTAATTGAACGATTTAATGATAATAGGAGGATTATTACTAACAATATTTGTGTTGGTTTAGGGAATGCACGAGTTGTTGGCCCCCCTATTGTTTGTCATGCATTGCGATCACCAGACGTTTCTTCACGCCGAAGAGATTGGACTCATTGAGTATTGTCTTTGTTTTTAACTACAATAGAGTATTCAAATTAACTAATGATAATCTTATGAGATTAGTGTTACGCTTAATAATGACATAAAAACAATCATTTATTTTTAGGGAAGAAATTAAAATCTTAATGGATCCGAAATACATAGAGTCTGACACTTACTATTTGTTATGTTCAGTGATGGAAAGGGTTGAGTCCTGGTATGACAACCACTCTATTCAAACAAAAGTAAGCTAACCATTAAGTCTATCATTGCTATCATTAACACCATTGCAAACTTGCGCTTCAATTTGTCGGCATTTCGGTGTCAATCATGAGAACACAAATCACAAGTTTTTAGATGAATGTGGTTGACGCCATTATTTGCTTCACCTAACGATAGTAATATCAATGCCATTCAAATAGTTAACTATTGGATTCAAAATACATTAGTTTATCATATTTACAACAATGTAAGATTTTTTAGAATAATTAGTAAAATTAACTTACAGGTTTAATTTTTGATTTCAATTACATTTAAACATTTTGCAAAATACTTCATTTGAAAATTTTAAATATAAATATTTTTTCATTAAATTTTATGCTAAAAGGCAATAGTTTTTAAAGTTAAGTTGTTTGGACATTTAATCTAAATATGATTTATACTATAATTTTATAACTACTATAGATTGGATAATGAAATCTAGAGTAATTATTAATTAATTTTATAATTTAATCTGGTTGTCTAATTTGATATTTACCGCACCAATGTAAACTATGTTTATTATGCAACAAAATAATATGACCCGTGTGCTTTTAGCTATTGTGGTTTAGAAAATATCTTCACCCGAAAAGTTCCTCCTCGGAAAATCTTTGGCACTTCTACCCGATAGTGATTAAAATATGAGACAAATAAATGATGTAAAGTGGTAAAATACAAATATTACAAGTAGATATGAGATAAATAAGATAGATCATAACTTTTAATAGCATATAGAATAAATTATTAACAATATTTAATTGTAAATTTTAATTGTAATTTAAACTTCCATTGGATAACATTGTCAAAGAGTTTCCGAGGATGAACTCTTCGGGCAACGATATATTCGGATTCATAATTAATAAAGACACCTGGATTGTATTATTCTTTAGCATAATAGACATAGTTTATAATGATACCTTATTTTTCAAAATCTACAACTTAATTATATTTTTAAATTAATAAATTGCAACTCTAGATTTCATTATCCATTCTTTATAACAATTATTGTCGGTAGTAATATTATAATTTACACAATATTAATAAATATAAGTTAAATAAAAATATAAAAATTCATATAAATATACATAAATTAATTGAGTATTGACAAACAATAGAAACTTGATGGAATCTATTTAAACAATTAATATACCGGTACTTTATGAATATAAATATTAAAGTATAACAAAGAGTGAATCTCTAGTTTTTGATATTAAATCCCATTTCCAAACAATTAAATTGCTGAAAGAAAATTGTGTTTTTTCTGTATTGGTTTAACTAAATTCCAAGACTTATCTCGTAATGAAGTGTCATTGCTTTGTTTAGTGTATGAGTGAATATAGATTTACGATACAGTACTTAAATTACTACGATTTTAAGTCCAGTTCAGCTTAAAAACAAATATTTTGATGTTTTATGTATTCATTTGAATATTTAAACCATTTAAACATATAATGGTTTAACAAGATTTGATTGTATCGGTCTAAATGCCGAGTGCGAGTCACATCACTTGAAATTAATCTATAGCTTTGCGTACATGACTTTTTGATGTGAAAACTAACTGCAGTATTAATATACAATTTTGGAATGATTTTCTCACGATTGATGGCCTGATAGCCGACGGACACCATAAACATAGAGCCGTTCTCAGCGCCGACCGAGACCTCATTATTCTCGGTATTAGGCGTTAAACTAAAGATGATAAACGAACAGATCGTTAAACGACACGATTATGAGCTCTACAATCATCTCATTTCAATGGAAATCGCTCCACAAATATATGGCATCCGTTGGATGCGATTACTCTTCGGCCGCGAGTTTCAAATGCAAGACTTACTAGTCGTTTGGGACGCCGTATTCGCCGACGGTTTTGCTTTATGTGACTATATTTTTGCGTCAATGCTATTAGTGATCAGAAAACTTCTTTTGGGCAGTGATTACGCCCAATGTCTCTACCATTTGATGAGATATCCATCTGTACCTGACATACACTACATCATACATTTCGCGTTACATATCAGAGATCCTTTGGTAACTAATCGATTATATCTTACCCCCACAACACCCCACTCCACTTCAACCATCCTTTTAATGGAATTCATTGTTAAAAATTAGTTTTTATTTGAATTTAACAATTATTTTAATCATTTATCTAGAACTATTCAGAACCAGTGGGCTATTCATCGCTAGTTATGCCTAACATTGGTATAGAGTGTTGGCCAATACAACAGTCCGTCAAGAATTGTTCGCCCAAAAGCTATGGCCCGACGGCTGTGAGGCCGACAACACTTGCCGTTGAATCGGTCGACGCTCGCAGACAAAGGCCCGAAAGTGTTGTGAGAAGAGCCCCAAACGGCAAACAGGAGAACGAATTGACGCACATTTCGTCCATCGATTTCCCGACAGACGGAGAATCGGATGAACTGAAGCGCGAGAACCAGGATTTGAGGCATCAAATCGATTATTGTTGGCGTCATATGAGCTCACAGTTGGATGCCTTGCAGAGAGTGTTGGCCACCGAACGACTTGCTCACGAGGACGACGTTATGGTCGCATTGGCTGAGCTCAAGAAGTGTAGAGATGTCCTCAAAGGGACCCTCAAATTCTCTCAAACCAATCAATAAACAAAATTTATTTGTTTTTTTTATTGTAATAAATAATCAAATGATTGTTATATTTATTTGAATATTTTTTTAAACCCTTGATTAAGCATCAAAATTGAGGCCATTGTTAAACCAATTTATCACTTTTATACCAATATTTGCAACAAAATAAATATTTTAAAGATTACTATAAATTGTTTCAAGTTTTGAATATTGAAAATATTGGAAATCATAGACAATTAGTGACGAGTTTATGGTCTGTGCGTTCATATCGTTAGGTTCATCACAACTATCATAATATCAGTTATTAGACATCGTATACAATGATAACCAAAGTCTGATTTGAAGAAATGTCACAAAAGCATTGGAAAGCACCAGAATTGCTAGAAATTTAATTTAACAGGTTTGTAATTCTTACTTGTTAGATTTAAGTTAAAATAATAACACAACTCGGAGTTTAACTAACAACGTTAGGCAACAATTTAATTATATCAAATATTTATTTTATTTTATATAAAACAACTTATAATTATACAGTAATTACATTTTATAATTATATTAAATTAGTACCGTATAAGCCTTAAACTATAAGGTATTAATGTATTTAAATAAATATATTAATGCTTACAAAACTATGATATATTTCAAATATTCTATTATATTTGTAATTTATATATTAAAAGATTTTTATGACTAATAAATAAATAAATTCTAATACTTTTTGTGACAATTTATATTAAAGTATTAAATTTAGATTCTATACTAACGTTGGATTTATAATAATATAAGAATGAGAACTTTGATCACTGGATTTGTAAAAATAACTTTTGTGTTTGATTATAAAAATATATGCAAACATTAATTATACTGTATATTCAATTGAAAAATCATTGATAGAAAAGATTATACAATAAAATGATCGAATTAGTGAAGTTTTTCATAAAATAAAACAAAGCCTGTAAATATAGTTTGTGTGTGTGTGTGTGTGTGTGTGTGCTGTTGACACAAATCAGATGAGTCTAGAATTTGGTCAACCCGTGGCAGTGCTTAAAGATCGAGACCTAAACGGCAACACCCAGTGGTGGTTCGTCGAGGACAGAGAGGGCCGTACGGGATATGTGCCCTCAAACTACCTACAAAAGTATCAAACAAAATGAATT